TAATATTAAAAAAAATTATAAAATTTTATTTTTAAAGAAGTTTGTATATCGTAATATTAAAATATAGATAATAATTTTAATCAATCAAATTCTCACATTAGATATTGTAATCAAATATTTAAAAGGGACCAAACTCCATCTTTACAAACATATAAGTTTTATACTAGAAGTATTTGTAGCCATAGCGATTGCATAGCTTCTTATACGTTAGAGCATTACTTTCTTTCGAAGATTAGCGAATAGCGGCAGCGCATTATATTTTTAGAAAAACTTAGCGTAAGGCGTGAACGCAGTGAGAGTAGCGTTCAACGACACCAATAAGAATTTTTTTTATAAAATGTGGGCGTCTAATGTCCAAGGAGTAAATATGCAGGAAATAAAAGGCAGATTGTGATTAATCACATCAACCTAAATGGATTATTAATTATCATTTTGCTTAACATAATTTCTGATTCTAATGATAATTATATACCTTTATTTTAATTATAAATATTTCTCGAGAAATCTTATCATTAATTGTTTTCGTTATAACTTAGATTGTTAAGTTTATTTACAGACTATTATAATTATGACTATATTAAATATACTATTATATATTATATATATAGAGAGAGAGAGAAAAAAAAGTGGTAATTATATGATAACATCAAAATTAGTTTTTTTCTATTTTCCTTTATTCATTTGTTAAATAAAAAATTAATAAGCGACCATAAAATATTAATAAAACATGTTACCTTGGGAAAAAAATAGGTATACAAATCCAGTTTTTTCCAAAAAAACTTGTAAAATAACCAATTTATTAAAACTTTATATTTTTACCAAATAGGCGAGAAGAAAAAAAACGTTACTTTGATTGAGGTAATTTGTAAAATCGTTTTTTAAAGTTTCAAAAATAAAAAGCGTTTGGGTTGGGATTTTCGTATTTGGAATCTTAACTTCCGGAAAAATGATCTCACGAAAGCTTTAAAGACTAAAAAAAATTGAATTGAGCTTCTAAGCTGAGCCTCCAACTCGAAGATTGATTAGTAGAATATTTCTGGGATAAAAATATGGATACGCGGTTTTATTAGTTGACTTAATGATAGGTAGTTTAACGACGACACTAGTTCTTAAAACTACTTAGGGTTTTTAAGAACTATTAGGTAGATATATTTTTAGAGAAACACTCCCCAAAATTCAAATGCGAAGTAAAAATGGGAGAAGCCATTGTAGACTCCATGGTAAACGTGAAAAAGAGAGACGCGGAGAATATTGCGAATCTCGTTATGATAACCGCGGAAATTTCTAAATATCGTATTATCGGAGGAATAAGAAGAAGAAAAAATCTAAGAAGTATATTGCTAAATTTAAGCATCATTCCATTGATCTTCTCTCCTCGGATAATAAGGTTCTTCTTTACTGAGGGCAGAATTATATTCATTGGAACAGATTGATATTTTAAAAATTTCGGTCAGAAGTCTTATTTCGATATCTGTTTATGAAAATTTATTATTTATTGGTGGAAATATTAAAAAAAATAATGAAAAACACCAAGTTTTGTATATAGTATTAAAAAAAACGGTAGAAATTATTCTAAGGGTATCTCAAAGAAATATTTTTCCAGATTTTTCAAACAACGGATTACGGGAAAGTCGCCATGGCCACAAAGTCAAAATAGTGATCAATACACTGGCTTATTTTGATTTAAAAAATAAAATTTATCTAATCGGATATAAGGATAATTTTGGATTTCGATCCATTGGTGCCTCGCTTTCAGCAGCATGGAATATGTGTTTAAAAATATGTCATTAGAAACGAATAACGAGACAAATAGATAGTGTGAAGGTTTTTGACGATCGGATTTTTTAATCTTGTGGGATAGGGCTCCTTCATTAAGATGAGACACTAAATCTGCCAAATTGGAACAGTGGAATGTACGCATACCGATGAATTGGCATATAAGGACCAATGAGATATTCCCAATTTACCGAATTTTCTGGATTTTTTTAACCATTCATTTTTTTCAATGCTTATATTTTCAACTTCCTTTTTAAATTTATTTAGCAACTAAAAGGCCGGGATTAAAAATTCCTTTCTTTCATACTTCCTTAAGATAGAAAAATGATGATATATGACTAAAAAGGGATTAATAAAAAAATTTCCTCACTGAAATATATCGATTTCCAAAAAATTTTTTTTTAATGTATCTGTATCAGTATCGATAATTTTTACGTTACTTTTTTTATTATGTATCGTTTTTATTAGCTCTATTTTTAATCTTTTTATAATAAATGTTAAAATTAAAATTTAACGAATTTAAATTATTCAAAGAATTTTTATTTTATCAAATCTAATTTATGGTCGTAATTTTATATATTTAAAGCATTTTAAAAAAATTTTTAATGAATATTTTTTTAGAAATAGCTATGTTGTGTGATTTAATTTTATATATAGTAGAAAATTAAATTAAATTATAATATAATTATTATTATTAGATTAGATTCAAATATTGATTATTTTTCTTCAAGTAAAACTTTTATTAAAAATTTTCTGAAATTTATATTATAATAAATACATACCTATGTACATAATTTCTGTTTTTCCTATTTTTAATTTAGAGATAATAAGATATTTTAGTTTATTTTTTAAAAAAAAAAAAAAAATTTTACAACCGTTTGTTAATTGGTCGCACTAGTGGAAGCGAGATAACAACTCCCAGAGATGATTGGGTAGAAATTACTTTCGTACACGTGATCAGAAGGGTTAGTATCGAATTCCGTGTTTAGGGACATTTGTCACAACTCTTGCCTAATAACCCCAAACCAAAAAATATTGTCCAAAAAAACATTTTTTTTAAAGCAATAATTTAGATATATTTTTACTCAAAATATTAGAAAAAAATATTTCGCAAAAAAATTTCAAGGAATATATTAATTTTTATTTTTTTTAAAAAAAATATTAACTTTAAATTATCTTACTTTATACGCCATTATTCAAGCAAAACGTTTTTCAAAGCGACAAAATATAAATGCAGTTTTTGTGTTGTTAAAAATCCCTAATTTTGGTCAACTATAAAACAGCCCAAAAATATTAGAATCAATCTTCAAGTCGAGACTCCACTTAGAAACTTAATTCTAATTTTTAGGCTAAAAACAATAAAGCCACATTAGAGATAGTCAAAGTTATATATTTCGGCTTATAGTTACGCACAAATTGAACGCGTTTTCATCGCATCGTTTCAAAAAACGCGAATTTAAAAAAACGTAAACCCAAACGCTCCTATGTTTAAGATGCACCGTTAAATACTATTCTCGATATTCATAACTATAATGAAATTCTGTCAAAACGGGGTCGTTAATCGTCTAAGGAGTGATTAGTTAATTCTTGAGGATCAATTTTAGGTTTTGCGTTTTTGATTGATTAAATATTTTGTCATATATCATATATCATTTTTAAATTTAAGAAAAACAAGACACACTAAAAAAAAGACAGATATTATTCCGATACAAGGAGAGAGAAAAAATATCGGGGAAAAAAAATAATAAATTTTAAAAGGAAAACTAATTCAATTCGAAATCATCGATATTAATTGACTTTTTTGATGAATTCGATTTTCCCCAGGGATTTTCGAGAATTCTCAGAAATTTATATTACAAAAAAAAAAAAAAACTTTATAATTACTAATTTAGGTTACGATGAAAAATATGAAATATTTTTCAATTTTCAAATTAAAAAAAAAATTTCGTTTAAAAATTTATAGTAATATAAAAATGTAAATGTGTGTTAAGTTATCTGCATCAGGCCGTCAAGCCCGGCTCGGCCCGAACCCGAATTTTTTTTAGAAAAACCGGCCCGACCCGACCCGGCCCGAAACCCGTTTTGCTCAGCCCACTTTTGCAGATCTCTAATGTGTATATTAAATGTTATTTTTCCTTTTTTTGTTATTTTAATAATTTAGGATCCAATCCAATAATTGATAAAAGATAAGATTTTTTGAAGAAAGACTAAAATAAATAATGTATAATAATAATCTCATTCATTTTCAGAGTTTGCTTAGAATATACCTAATAATGAATGACTATTAATAGATATATATATATATATATAGCAAAATTTAGATCCTTATAATATAAGGCAAAAAATAAATATTGGTTAAAAGTTTATATGATTAATTTTAAAAAATAAGACTTATAATATAAATATTATGTTTGTGAGTTTTATCCCTTATAATCCTTTAATCCTAATAAATTAATATAAAATAAATCATTTGAAATCATTTACACTTAGCTATTTTTGAAAATTTGAAGTTAGGAGGAGTTCGCTTAGTAAATGTATTAGGTATAAAAACAAACCATAGTCAACAAAAAAAAACTTTGGAAAATGAAATTTGGTTTTATATCATAATAATGTATTTTTTTTCACAATTTATTTAATATAATAAAAAAATTTAAATTTTGGATTATTATAAAAAAATACACTTTTAAAATATTATATCTTACTCATTATCGAAATTCGAAACAATATTATAAGCCATAGTTATTCAATGATTTTTGTAAAAATTACCAACAAAATAAAATAGAATTAATATAATATAATTACTTTATACAAAGAAAAGTTTAATTTTAATTTTTAAATTTAATATGTTAACGCTTTTAAAGAAACAAACTATTTCTTTATTAAAAATATATAAAAAATAATTCCATAAAGTTTAGGCTGTCATCCATCCCGCTAAATGTCGACCAATATCAACCCCGCCAAATATCAACCCCGCCAAATATCAACCCCGCTCATTCTCCTACAAAACAAAAAAAAAATATCCATCCAATTATATCGAATTTCAAAATTAAATTTAGCCAGAAGTTATCAAAGTTGTCGTATAGTAAAGAAAGAAAGAAAGAAAGAAAGAAAGAAAGAAAGAAAGAAAGAAAGAAAGAAAGAAAGAAAGAAAGAAAGAAATAAAGAAAGAAAGAAAGAAAGAAAGAAAGTTTATGAAAATTTATATAAATTATGAATATAAATACCTATCTGTCCAGGATGAACGTGCCCGCAAATGATGCCTTCGATAAAAGCGTTCAAATCGGCTTGACTCAACTCCTTGTAATAATTTTGACCGTCATAACCGTCCGTTATATTGTTGTCCCTTTTGTCCTTCACCATTTGCCGCACCGATTTGGACAGCGCGTTGAGATTTTGTTCCGGCGCGGGGCCCGAGGTCTCTTGTTGTTGATTCGAGGAAGCGTTCTTCCGAGAATCCGGCGGTATTTTAGATAACCTTTTGACGGGACTATTTTTTTTGGTGCCGTAAAAGGATATGCCCTCATCTATCGTTCGCGAGGCACTCATGTTACTGTTATCGAGCGGAGGCGAAGGGAAAGAATACTGAGACGACTGTCCGTTAAAATAATTGGAGCTCTGTTCTGTGTCGGAATTCTTCTTGTTCCCTTGAACGTTGGGGCTCGCGGAAGAGGTTAAATGGTTTATGTAGTTGGAGAAGTAGTGGCTGAACCAATTCGCTTTGAACTTCTCCTTCCCGGCTAAGGCTCCTCCCGGCAAATTAGAAACGGGCAGGGTGTAATAGCTATTATTTATCATATTGGCGCCGGCTCCGCTCGAAACGCTTTCTGATTGGCTGCCGAGTTTGCTGCCAGTATTACTATCACATTCTCTGGTACTAAACCTATGAAACCAATTTTTCGGGGCTGAACTAATATTAGGATTAGGGAGACTTGAGCCCCCAGTGGAACCACCGCTTATATTTGAACTGTTCTTATTCATTGTGGATTCTTCTATGATCGAAGACGACCTATCGTTAGAGTTTTTAGTTAAGGTTGACCCCCCTTTTTTGCCAGGAATATTGACACTGGACGTTGACGTTTCGATGTCAATGACAGGTATGTTGCTATTATTAGAAATTAAACCGTGCCTCGAAAATGTTCTGGACAGGAGAGATAGACTATGAGCGATTCCACCACTCGAGGGCTCTCCAACTTTTTCTGAGGTATGATTTTGGGTTGCATATGATGGCATAGGGTGGGATGATTTCCTGTTAGAACCGAAGATACTCATTTTGTTCGGCGATACATTTACTCCTTTAGAAATGGTCGACTCTGTTGGAGCGGAGGTTTTGTGAATTTTATCGCGCGATTTATCTCTAAATTTATCTCCGAGAGCTTCGTCTTCTAGTTTTTCTGTATTCCCACCTAAAGCCATATCATTGGTTTCAAAATTTATTATGTTGACTTCCGTAGGTTCTATAGAACTTCTTTGTTTTTCTAGGTATGATCTAACTGTACAAATATTTATTTTATATTTATCACTAATAAATAAAAAAAAATTTATATATATAGGTGTAAGCGTCAATATATTTTTCCTGGCGATGTGTTAAATATATTCTATCATGTTTGGATTGCCTATCTTATAAATCGTAGACAATTTCGCTGTAAAACCTTAGAACCTTTAATAATTTATACAGAATAATTTATGGAAAAATTTGATATAAATTATTATAAAGTTTTAAAAAAGTTCACGAAAAACGTAGTGTGGGTATTTCGAACATGATGGCATGCATTTCCGGTCTACCTAAATTTTTAAGTTGAAAAAATAACACATTTATTAACTATGCTATAACCAGTAATATCTTTCTTTAAATCAATATCTAAATAACGTGATCATTTTAAAGTGTGTGATTGGCTACCTTCTTTCCTACTAATAATTGCAGCTATTTTTGTCTAAAAATTTTTAAAAAATAGATACGAATCTCTCGTATTCTTTACCGTTACCCAATCAGAACCCTAACAAAGTCTTCCGGATAATTTATTTCCAATTCAGTTAAAAACGATTCACCCTGACTAATAAGAGCGAACATATTGACAGGAATCATATAAGTTGAAGCAAAAAAAAAGTATCGAATATATCAAAAGAGATACAAATATTATTATCGTAGATTTAAAGGGGGATCGGCTTAATTTTCGTTCTAACTGTAAAAACATACATGTTTTTACCACTCAAAAGTGCTCGAATAGGGGGAAAAAAAATTAGAAAGAAAGAAAAAAAATGATATGCTTATATATTTTGTAAAATTCTTTGGTTTATTATCTTGAAAAAAAAAACGATTTCGAAAATAGATATTAAGTAGTTCCTGGGGCTGGTTATAAAGTTTAGAAATTTTTAAGAAGATTATATGTTAGATTAAGGCATAAATATGATTAAAATTATAAGGTGGAGTTATATGTTAAAATGGTAAATAATTTTTAAATTTAAAAATCAATCAACATTCTTATTTCACAATTTCATCTTTTTACGAGATATCTATGTCTTGTCTATGCTCCTTATATAAAAAAATTAATATAATAAGAAAATATGTTGTGTTTTTTTATTACTTAAAAAAAAATTATACTTATTGGAGTTTTTTTTCCTAATTATTTGTTGTTTAAGTTTTAGTTTTTAAAAAAATAAATACTAAATTCCAGAGTTGTTAAAAGATACTTTTTAAATGGATCTAGATACAGATACAACGTCTAAAATAATATCTAGATACAGATTATTTAATCAAAAATCTATCTAGATACAGATACCACATTTTTATATCTAGATACAGGATCTAGATACTTGTATCTAGATCCTTTAACAACTCTGCTAAATTCTATTTATTGAATTACAAAACGCACATGAATTATGATGAATCAAAATTGTATTCGTGCTAGAGATTCCGCAAAGACCGACCGGTCTAACCCGTTCTTAAAAGTTAAAAAAAAATGCAGGTGAGGTCTCGAAAATCTCCAATTTTCGTAAATTTTAGCGGACCAACCTGGGGATTTAGAATTTCTATATAATTTTATTCAAAAATTTCAAACTAATTATATTGATTTTGAAAATAAAAATAAAAACCATATGCTTTATTTCTATATATTTTTAAGAGCTTGTCTAACTTTAATTAATAAATATAAAAATAAAATAAGTAAAAAAAATTTTTTTATAACAAAGTTTTATTATCATTTCAAATAAAAGTGATATATTATATTATGAATGAATATATATATAATATATACATTAAGATATAAGTAAGAGTTGAAATGTGGTATCTGTACCTGTACCTGTATCTGTATAGATTTTTGATTAAAATATCTGTATCTAAATATTATTTTAGACGATATATCTGTATCTATATCCATTTAGTAAGTATCTTTTAACAACTCTGGTAAATTCCATAAAAGAAATCATCAAAACAAGTTCTTTATGATATAATCCAATTTATGAATGCGCAAATGCAGATATCAAAACACAATTAATTTTTGGGGCAAAACAGACCGGGATTTAGAGATCTCTGATTCGTGCACACCTCATTTGGCATGGCATACCGTGTAATTTTTTGAGGAGTTCAATTGATATTGTATCATTATTTTCCTCCTTACCATATAATACATATAAATACATAGGAGTGTTCAGAATTATTTACAGGACGGATTATAAGTTTTGTTAAAAGGGCTCGATTTCTAAAAACGGCTAACCCTATTTTTTTTTAGCCAAGAATTACCAGGAAAACCCTGGAGATTTTGCTTATAGAAGTTAGAAATGTTTGGACATCTATTAATGATATTTGAGAGACTTGTGTCTTGTTTATTTGCTAAATCGTTGGGTTTGTCTTATTTTATATATATGGAGCAGTTTATAGAAGGGTTATCGAACAAAAAAAAATTTCTAAAATTGAAAAAGGATATCAGTATTTTTTTTCGAGAGAGAGGAAGGCTAGGCGAATGTAATGGAATACATAAGTTCCTAAAATAATCTCAAGAAAGACTTATGAACGTAGTACGGCTAACGGCTCAATTTTTTTTTTTTAAACAGCTAAAACCCAATATTTTAGCTATAAAACAAAAAATATATATATTACGCAAACTTAGAAATTTCGTCGCTCATTGAATAGCTTGGCTAAAAAAAATCTTAATTTTATTAACCATACGGGGCTGGGATTGGCACAAAAAATAATTTTATTAGGTGCCAATTCAATAAATTAACGATTCAAATATTTTTTTTGTAAAATTTAAAAGGCTTGTTTAAAGAGACACTTTTTAAAAATATAAGTTTGTTTCTTAGTTTTAAAATATATTCTCGCATATGGGAGAGATTAAAAAAAAAATATTTTAAATTTTATTTTGTATATATAAAAAATATTTTATAAAATTAATTGCGAAAATAAAAACATCTTTACCATAACTTTAATTAGCTTTAAAAATTGACAAAAAAATTTTATCATAATTCCTAGAAAAGATGTAGTAACAATATATATAATATATCAAATGAATCGAGGAGTGGTCCTCTTAATCATCTATTTCTTGCCCAAAAAAACTATGGTCACATATAGTAGAGGTCTGCATTGGGCGGCCTTTTCGTCCGCGTCCGCTCACGCCTACCGATACTTTGAATCGATGGGATCGGGCTTTCTTAAAAATATTTTCAACAAAGAGGCGGATAGCGGGCGGATTGAAAATTTTTTTAAAGTAATGGGAAGGAGTGTTTTCAGTTAAAAAATTTATTAAAAATAAATAGTTTTATTTTTCATAATACAGCATATTATATATGTTTGATGGGGGGGGAGTCAAAACCGGCCAATAATTTTTCTAAACCGGTCCGGGTTAAACCTAAGTTATAGATTTAGCGGGAGGGTAAAGTGAGTGGGGGGGGGGGGGGTGGTTAAATAAATTTCAAAACAGCGAGCGCTTTTTGGCTAAAAAACCGCTTCATTGGACCTCTAATATAATGGATCATTTAACCCTTTTATTAAAAACTAAAAGGCCATAGAGTAACAACGAAGTAATTGTATGAAGAGGTTTTTGATAGTTGGGCAGAAAAGTTTGGGACATCTATTAACGTAATTCTCGAGGATCACAATAATATTTTTGGCTATGTATTGGGTTAGACGTTTATAGTAAGTCGAAATACGGTAATTTATTTTAATATTAATTTATTCGTAAGGTTTTGAAACGAACGTTAGGTCGATATTTTTTTAGAAAATGTTTAAAGTAAGTGTTGTTAGACGGCCCCGTTTTGAACACATTTTTAAAAACGGCTGATTCAGTATTTTTAGCCTGAAAATGATTGCCTAAGCTTCGAGATTCCGCTGATAGATGTCCTAACCTCTGTTCCTTCTACGGACAAAATCTTCAGGGATCGCCTAATATTATTCTAGATGAAAATATTGAGTTAGCCGTTTTTATAAAAATCGGATCAAAAACGAGCCGTTTAACAACACTAGGTATGCCAGCACACTTAGCTTCATAACCTGTTATCTTAATATTTTCAAAATTTAAGCCTGTTGTCTTTTTATTATAAAATATGTTTTTTGTAATTTTTAAATTTATTATATTTAAAAAAAAAATACCGAGTAAATATTTTTCCACTGTTCAAAAAAATAAGGGAAGGAAAGGAACCGTAAATGATCGTGATACCATTGATTTATACAATCAGACACCCCTCCCACCACATTCGATTCTAATGAACTTATAGCATGATACCCCACCCTGAGAGGAGGGTCTTGTAGTTAAACCTTAGAAATTTTTCGAAGAAGCAAAATACTAACAACCCCCCACCCCCCCCCCCCACCTAGTAAGTATTGAGGAGGGCCCTGATATAAATAAAAAAAATTTAATTAGATAGTGCAGTAAAAATTTTAGAGCTATACAAAAACCCTATATACTATTTTTTTCCAAAATTTGATTACTACTAACTCGATATTTCATTCAGAAATAATATTACGCAAGCCTGAAGATTTTGTTTGCAGAGGGGAAATCTCTGAGCATTAAACAATAATTTTTCTAGCTAAGATATTGAGTTAAGCCGTTTAAACAAACACTAATTCCCTCGGTTAAAATTTATCCGCTAACAAATTAATATGGGTAAGAAATTTAGTGTTTGTTAAACGGCTTATTAACTCAATATCTTAGCTAGAAAAATTATTGTTTAGGCTTATAGATTTCGTTAATAGCACTGTTCCTCCAAAGCCTTTGTGCCCATCTTTGAAGCAAAAATCTTAGGGCTCGCTTAATAATCATATCTCTATAGAGTATCGAGTTAGCCGGTTTTAAAACCCGGCTCAGAGCGAGCCGGTTTATTTGAGCCGGTTTAACACGGCACTAGTAGATAAAAATTCGATCATTTTTAATTTTATAACCTTCTATAACTTCCTCAGTGGGGTCTTGTTTGAGATCATAATCCTGCGAGGGTTCCGTCATCAGAAAATCACATGATTGAGATGAGAATAAAATAGTATTTTATATTTTCTTTCTAAGATTTATATTTATTTTTGATTTTTATAAAGTTTAAAAATACTCCGAAAAACAATATATTTAAGTTTAAAAAAAAATCAAATAATAAAATATTTAAGGGAAAATAAAAGATTTATTAAAATAAATTCATATTTTTAATCATTAAAAAATTACGTTTATGAAAGGAAAATTGAATTTTTTAAATATTTTATATTATTATTATTATTGTTATTTATTTTTCGATAATATTATCGATAATTATAAAAAGAGAAAATAAAAAATATTTATCAAAAATTCAAAGATATAGTAATATAAAATATGTTTTTTTAAAACTTAAAACTGATTTACTATATAAATAATATTTTAATAAATAATAAATATTGTTAATTAAAAGAAGAGAATATATAATGATATTTCATCTTCTTATGTGTTAATTTATAAAAAAAATTTGCACGGGAAGAGTGAGTGAGTGCTTTCAAATCGTTATAAATTATAATTAATTATGACACCACAAAGTCTTAATTATGACACCACAAAGTCGAGGGATGGGAAATGAATATATATAATAATGTCAGGCGCCTGCGCGGCGGAGGGAGTCAGGAGGATAAATTCCCCCCCCTCTAACACCCAAAGCCAGAAAATCTGGATTCCGACTAATATATTTCCCCAAAATTTTGCCGATTCCCACATCTGATGCTACTAATTTTATTCTTATGAATTCAAATATCGATTTAAAAAATTTCCCGCCAAATCATTTGCAATTTTTTTTTTCCCGCTGAAAAAAAAACGGAGGTAAAACATTTCAAGTTAAAATAATACTGATCTGATTTGAGGCTTTATGAGAAATAGCTGAAAATCCTTAGTGTGGAAAACTTAGTGAAATCAGGGCAGATGTGGATGAGGAATTTTCATGAATAATAAGTCACAGTTGAGTCAAAGGCAGAGCTATATGAATTTAATATTTGTCTGCCTCGACTAGCAGCAAGGCAAACCCATCGTACCAATATTAGTAAAATAAGATCTCTTTTAGATAATATTAGAATTAGAATGAATGGAAGGTTCTTGATTAAACTAGCACTTAGAAATCTGTCTGCCGCAGAATCCTTCTGGCAGATTTCTATTGTGAGAATGTGTATCCTATGATGCATTATACTAACTGATATGCAAAACTACGGTAATATAAAAGGTTAAAATGCTAATGATACTCGGCACAAATTTCAAACCAAATTTTAGACCATTTTTCTTATTATACATATATAAAAAATTTGTAACGTATTTTAACAACTCTATACATAACCAGAATGAAAACGTACCTGAAGTTATTATCGTTCCATGACTCGATTTGAACCGATGTTCAAAAACCGACTAACTTCAATTTTAGTCGGAAAAATGTTGCCCGGATTAAATATTGAGTTATCCGTTTTTTAAAATCGGATTCAAATCCAGCTGTTTATCAATACTTCTGAGAACTACTACCCTCTGAAAAGATTGGATGGATAAGCCCTCCTTCTCAATACACATAGGGAGTCGTTAGAGTGTTGTTAAACGGCTCGTTTTGAGCCGAATTTTTTAAAAAACATCTGAATCGATATTTCGTCCAGAAAAATACTACGTTGACCTGAAGATTTTGCTCATAGAAGGAACATAGATCTAGACAACGAGCCACTTAACAACACCACCAAATACGTATGAATTCGATCCCAAAGAAGATCGAATTTCAGATTATACATTTATAATATTGCTTCTTAAATCATATTTATTTTAACCCTTTTTTTAATAATAGACTATATATATATATATATAATTTTTTTCATGGATACTTTGTAAGTTTTATTTACGTGCAATAATTTCTTGAATATTTTTTTTTGGGCATTATTCTATATTTTAAAAAAATATTTAAATTTAAATTAAAATATATCAAATTTTAAATGCTTAGAAAAAAAATTCGTATTTTAATTAACAATGTTCCCTTACGGGACATTTCTATTTTATTAACAATGTTCCCTTACGGGACATTTACATTTTATAAATGATCATTCATACGCCAGATGATCTATATCTTAACGTCATATTTTTTTCAACTCTAAGTCATTCTTCGAGCACGTGTACTTGAATATAAAAATTTGATTATACCGGAAATGCATTCCAGCATGATCGGAATACCAGTAGCGTTATCAAGATGGCAAGTAGCGGGCGAAGGGGCCTTAAGCCACCCGAAAAATTTGAATTTTTTTTTTACACCAAATGTAATTTTGGATGATGTTAGCTAAATAAAAAAATAATTAAAAAAATTTTTTTATTGTATAGGCTAGTGACGTCCCCGTAGAATTACCTATCTTATGAATATTGTATAGATATCGCCGTTAACCCTTTCATTTATAATTTATATTAAAGAAAAATCCATGGAAAAACTAATTTAAATTATATTAAGTTAGCGGCTAAATTGTCCGAGATAGGTATTCCAAACATGATGGAATACATTCCCTAAAACGAGCTTCTAAAAAAATAATTGAAAAAAAAATAACACATTGCCAGAAAGAAAGAGAGAAAACACATTGAATTTAATATTTTATCATTAATTTACAGAGTTGTTAAAAGATACTTTTTAAATAGATCTAGATACAGATACATCGTCTAAAATAATATCTAGATACAGGTATTTTAATCAAAAATCTATCTAGATACAGATACCACATTTTTATATCTAGGTATCTAGATCCTTTAACAACTCTGTTAATTTATATTTGAATTTGTGTATTAGAATAATTGTAAATATTGTATAGGTGACTTAGTCTTTAATAAATCTATGAAAACTTAAGATATTCTTGAATAACTTCTAGAATAGCAATGTATTCTTTCGCGCGTATCATTTTACATTATATTTCACCTTTACATTATTTAATTTGGAATTAAAGTTTTAATGGCAGTCTTCTCTCCACAGACCTTGGCTAGTTTTACCTTTTTTTTATCATCTTATTTTTATCATTTTGTACAATATTTCTTTCTTTCTTTCTTTCTTTCTTTCTTTCTTTCTTTCTTTCTTTCTTTCTTTCTTTTTCTTTCTTTCTTTTTAACCAAACAAACTTTATACCAATGCGTAACCCAGTTCTTAATCTTTAGGATAAAATGAATGAAAGCTTCTATCTATAATAGTTTATACGGTAAATGAGGTATGTAAAAGTTTGTTTTTATGGCCAGTCAAATACGTAAGAATCTTATTATAAAAATATAGAATATTATACTTGTAAATGTCCTATGTTATTATTTCTTCATTTTTTTAGGCATAATAAAACATTAATTATAAACTAATTTTAATTAGTTAATATTATTATATTAATATCTTAATTATCTTGATTTGTTAAACATTTTTAAGTTTTGTTCATCATTTGAAATTTTATTGTTTTGCAAAAAGTTGAATGTGGTTTGAATATAGGAATTGTGGCCAGTCAATACATGGCCATACAATATTCACCTGTCTCTCATATATATTTTTTTATTTGATTGCTCAATTCATATGGCACATCTCCCCTTACATAAGGAGCTGAGACCAAACACACTGATGAAATCATTTAAAAATTGACTCTCTCAGAAAAGAAGATGGAATTTTTCACAGTATAAAATTAATATTTTTCCAATCTTTTTTACTTGCAAATAATTCTTAAGAATTTTTTTAGTGAATTATAATCTATCTATATTTCCTTTAAAATATTAAAATAATAATATTAATTTTCTATATTTTTTTAAATTCTCATTTATTTTATACGTCGATTATAACCATTTAATTTAATATTTTGTCATTGGTATTTTTTTTAAAAAAATTTTTTACGATATTGTAATTAGAAATTGTGATTATTTTAGAAGTAACTAGTAGTAATAAATTTTAGTAACTTATTATAGTCTTAAGCAATTCTTAAGATATTGTCCCCCCTCCCTCTGCCATTTGAATCATGTAATTTTTCCTCTTTCAGAATTTCTAATATATATAATCTATATTCAATTTAGACACTCAAATCTCGCTTTTTATTATTTCATTTTATTTTTTCTAAAAAAAATAAAATTCCCCCAAAAAATTCTTATGCAATTTTTTCTTTTCTTTTCTTCCTTTTTTTTAGTGGTATTATTATATTTCGACAACATGGAATAAATTAACAGAATTTTTGACAATATTTTATATATAATAACTTTTTATATATTTTTACAAATATTATTGTTTAAAAGAATAGGGGAAAATTATATTTACATAATTAAATACATTATACTTAGTATAGTATTATGTTTTGTTATTAATTTCGTTTTATAAAAAAATAAAAGATTATATATAATATATAATTATATATTTTAACTTGATAAAATATGATGACGCAAGAGCAAAATAAATTGAATATTTTTAATTTTTATCATTTGATATATTGTCATTGTCATTGTTACCATAAATCTCATTATCGAAAAAAAAGAAGTCATTTTCACATTTGGAAGTTTTTTTTTCCTATATGAGACCTTTCTTTCCTTAAAGGATATAAGGGAAAAATGCTTAAAGAATCAAAATTATAGCCTAGAAATTTTCTCAGCTTTAGTTTCTTTCACACAATTTGTGATTCTAATAGAAATTTCCTCAAGATTCATATGAGAATAGAATTTAACTTATTTTTTAGACATATAATCTTAAATTAACTATCATATTTAACCATCTTATTTTTTTGAAACTATTTTAACCGGAAATTACAAATTTTTAATATTGATTTTATTCCTTCTATTATATTATCCATATAAAAAAAAAATTTTATTTTATCTATTATATACTTACTATTTATTACTTTATATAATAATAATAATTATAATCTTATTTTTTTTTAAAATGAGTTTTCTGATTCTAATTTCGAAAGAGGATAACGGAAGAATATGATCTTTTGCGGGAACTTGGGTGAAATTCAAACAAATAATGATGGTTTTTTTTTAAAAGGCTGGAGATTTAACAATAATTTAAAATGTAGCCTCTAAATAAAAAAATGATCCTGCCTAAAGGAAATTGGTGATAGAACACATTATAAATGGATTATGTAGAATAAGAAACTAGCTCAGCCTAGAGTTCCTAATCCCGGATCAACCAGCAGGACATTTCTACCAATTTAACCATTA